TGCCCGTACGCCGAAGGTGCATTTTTCTGGATTGAATCGCATACGACATTTTCGAGCTTGCTCGAACACCTTTTTTAGATGGGCGGCATGGTCGATCTCTTCGGTGGACTTGACAATCATGTCGTCCATATAGACTTCGATCATGTCTCCTATCTCTTCGTGAAAGACTTTGTTCATCATGCGCTGGTAAGTAGCGCCCGCGTTCTTTCAGTCGAAAGGCATTACGTTGTAGTAATAGTTGTCCGACTCGGTCATGAAAGCGGTATATTTTTTGTCCGTTTTTGCCATGGGGATCTAGTTGTAACCAGAATATGCATCCATGAATGATAGTAGTTTGAAATCGGTCGAGTTGTCGACCAGTTTGTCAATATTGGGGAGGGGATACGCATCTTTCGGGAAAGTCCGATTTAGATTAGTATAGTCAATGCACATATGCCATTTTCCATTATATTTTTTAACTTGGACTACATTAGAGATCCAGGTTGTGTACTGGGCTTTAGAAATAAAGTATGCCTCTAGGAGGTCTTTTACAGCTAATTCAGCAGCCTTTACTTTCTCAGTCGAGTGCTTCCTTCTGCGTTATACGACCGCCTTGATGGTAGGATCAATGGTCAGGTGATGGTATGCGACCTCGACGTACAACCCGAGCATCTCGACCGCACTCTAGGTGAATAGATTGGCATTTTCCATTAGGCAATCCTTGAGTTGCCTCTTCGCCAAGTCGGGGTGGTCTGCTCCGATCTTGACTCCCCTAGTGGGGTCTTCTCCGAGAGGAACTAGCTCAAAGTCACCATTTGGGATGGGCCGTGCATGACTTGAGAGTTCTTTGTGACCGGCGGAGGAGGTTTATTTTTTGTCCTCGGCCATCGACTCCTTCCCTCTCCTCCTCTGCTCGACCCGGTCTTCAGTGGAGAAGCGACTGTCGAGGTCAATAGTGTCAACCCTCAGCAGCGGCCTGGATTCCTCGGAGCTGGAGGGCAGTATGGCTCCAGTGGTCGTCCGAGGTTGGGCGTTGATGGAGTTGAGGCCCTTCGCAGAAGCTTCGAAGCACTTCCTGGCTGCTTGGATGTCCCCGTGAAAAGTGGCAACCAAGCCCTCGACGGTGTAGTATTTCATCTTGAGATGAACGGTGGAGGGGACCGTAATAATCTCAGTGAGAGTGGGTCTCCTAAAGATGCATTGGTAGAGAGATGGGTATTCCGCCACCAAGAATTGGGTCTTGATGGCTCTGGTTGTTATCCCCCTCCCAAAAGTAACGATTAACTCTACGTATCCCCGTGGCTTCGTGCTGGCCCCATTGAAACCTTGAAGATCATAACCCACGTAGGGGGTTAGGTGGCTCTCGTTCAGCTGTAAAGTGTTGAACAATTGGGCATGCATGATGTCCACCGAATTTTCCTGGTTGACCAAAATGTGACGCACATCAAAGTTAGCCATATGAGCTCTCATGAGTAGTGGGATGCTCGAATTCAGGGCTCCTCCCGGTAACTCTTCTCTGTAGAATGCGAGGGGGTGAGATCCTCCTCAGAATTTGTCGAGTGTGGCGTCTATCTCAGAGTTGTCCTCGATGAGTTGGTCAAACCTTCTCTTCACCGATCCAATCGTATACCTGTTGAACCATCCGCTGGAAATGACCATGGCTGCGGGGAAGGATTCCCATGGACTTTGGGTGGAGAAGTACAGGGGGACGTTCTCCATGTCCAGAAAGTAGAAGTCTTACGGCCGTGAGATGCTCAAGGCGACCTAAATAGAGTTGAGGTCAGGGGATTTCTTCCCTTCTTCGACATTCTTGGTCTCTGGTGCTTTGTCACGGGCGGCCTCCTTTTTCTTATACTGCTTGAGGTTCCCGTCTCTGATCAGTATTTCAATTCCATCCTTGAGATGAATGTAATCCTCTGTGTTGTGGCCGTGACTCTTGTGCAAATTGCAGTACTTGCTCTTGTCGGTTCTTGGCTTTGACAGTGTTTGTCGGGGGAAGCGCACCCCGGATTGCTTTAATTCAGAGTTAGCGCATTAGGAAAGAATACACTCCCTTGATGTTGTCAGGGGGGTGTAGTCATGGAAACGACCGGCCGACCCCTTATAGTCTTTAGGATCATGGGACCTGTCTTCCCGTTTTTTCTCCCCCCCACGGGATGTCAAGGGTTCATCATTCTTTGAGGGTTTGGCACTCTCTTTGTGCTTGGATTCCCAGGCGCTGTTGGCTGTTTCCCTCTCTTCGTACTGTATGTACGCCTGGGCCTTTAGGAGAAGGGAATCGAGCGTGGCTGGTGTTTTTATGCCCACAACCTTGGCAAAGTCGCTGCAGGGACAGAGCCCGCACTCGAGTAGGTATTTCTTCGTGTTGTCCATTGTCGGGACCTGGATCGCTTATTTGTTAAAGCGTTCAATATATGTACACAAAGACTCATCCCTGCCTTGTATGTTCGTTTTGAGCGAAGCTTCTGATTTAGGGTGTCGGTGGGAGGCAGTGAAATGCCTTGAAAATATTCTCTCAAGTTGTTTCCACGAGGTGATGGATTCATCGGGCAAACTTTTGTACCATGCCATCGCCCCCTTCCTGAGAATGGTCGGGAAGAGTCTGCATTTGATGGCTCCCCTGACCCCTCAGTAGTCGAGGAGGGCGTCGATGTTATCGATGTGCTCGTCAGAGTCTGTTGTTCCGTCGTAGTTCCCTAGAGTGGGCGACTTCTCCAGGCCGACAGGGAGCAGAGCTTTGGTGATCTCTCTCGATAGCGGGCCACGGGGCTTGTCATCCTCACTATTGACGGGAGATGGAGAAGGAGAGTGGTAGTTTCTCCCCCGTCGGTCGTCATGATATTATCGGAGGGAGGGGCTCATTCGTTTCTGCTTCGGCTCGGGAGAGGGATGTCGAGCTCGATCAATCTGCCTATTGTCCTTCCTCTTCTTGAACGAAGGGGAGTCTTGATCTCTGGGGGGGAGGTGTGCGATTGCGTTTCTTGAAGAAAAAAACGTCGCGCCTCTCCTTTCTGAGTGGCGGACCACGCCTGGGTGGTAATGTACTGGGGGAGTTTCTTCTTCGGGCTCTCCGAGGAGGAGATCTTGAGCGTTTGTTCTCCCAGGCCCCTATCCTTTAATTATGTTGAAGGATCAGGGTGTTGGTCTGATTTATAGCAGCGAGCAGTGCTACCACGATCGGGTCGGTGTTGAGAGGGATATAAATTGGTTGCATGATTTTTGGTAGTTCCTCAGTAGGATTATTGGAATGTCCCTTGTCCAAGAGTTGGTCGTCACCACGCCGAGCATCAGTGGAATCAGGGGACGCGGTTTGTCCGTCACGGAAGCCCAGGTTGTCCTCGAGGTGAGGGTGTTCCTGGCTTCCATCAGTCTTGCGAGCGGGGGAAAGAATGTTTTTTCCGGGCATGTAAAGATCATCATAGTCGACCATGATTAGAAAGATGAATCTTGAAAGAAAAGTTGCTTTGATCTTAGGTTCCAAGGGAAGAAAGATGGGGATAGAAGATTCCCACAGACGACGCCACTGATCTTGACGGTTGATCAGAACCAGGAGAGTGGCCAGAGGATGATCTTTAGTCGGGCTGTATGCTGAGGAGAAAAGGGGGTTTACCTGCAAGACACTCCAACGATCAAGTAAGAGCGGGAACAGGGAGGTACAAGCAGAAATATCAGGTAGTGAGTAGTGAATATTGGATATCTGGCCTTCACAGGTGTGAGGGTTTATATAATCCCCCGACGCGTGGCCATTGGTTCCTGATTTCCCACCTAGATATGTGAGTCTGAAAAATCAAGTAACTGCCAGGACTTGGTCAGACCGGCCAGATGTGCCCGTAACTAGTCGTTGGTTCTGAGGAGGAGACTAGTTACGGGCATCACTCCAGTCGGTTCTTGGTGGCCTGCATGACGTTGGTGTCGGGCAGGCAGAGAGGGCGCTCGTCGATCATCATGGGCCAGCGTCGGTTCGTAAGGGCAAGTGGTTGTCGTTGCCCGACAGAGAATAGCCATGCGGGCGATCCGGGTTATGGTTGGGTGGGCTCGACCAGTGGAGATCTCTGGGACTGAGCCAATCAAGTCGTCGGACCAATCCAAAACAGTTTCCTATCATGCTAATTAAATTGTATCAACCATGAATTATTGGCACGCAATCTTCTTTTAAAACTTCAGCTTTAAAAACAAAATTGGCTACTCCTATAACCTCAATAAGCATACCTAATTTGAATTTTCATTCACGCAGTGCACAAAAGCACATTTAATTGCTCCTCCAAGACAACCAATCTTCACTTGAAAAAAAGAAGTGGTGAACAATTTCCAAGATGACAGTAAAATAACATCAATAAAAAACTGCATCAAATAGAAGAACATTCAAATATTGTTCTATCAACTGAACTGGTTGACCAACTCAGCCTTACAATACATAAATAAGTTTCAAAAAAATTTAACCTCACTTAAAGTATTCTCCAACACGTGCCTTCCTAACCTGTGTAAGAGTTGGAAAGAAATCTATTAGTTTTATTAACATCGTCAATTGAAATAGGAGTTAATAAAATTTGACAGCTTGCACAGTTCATAAAATCAACACCGGAAGAAAATCCCTCACCAACAAAACATATTATAGGGGAGGAAGACGACAGGTCATTTAGAAGAAGAAAAGTTTGGAACAGATGAAAGAATTTTCAATAATCAATGTTTATGATTCCCAAAGCAAAGAAAAGAGTCGTTGAAGAGACTCACATCAATTGAAACAAAACTCATTATGAGAGCGTGTAAACTTACACCAATAAGATAATATTATATAGATTTTGATGGTCAAATGTTTAAAATATATGGAATACAAACTAAAAAATAGTTCTTCTAAATTACAAATAAAATAATAAATAAAATAAACAAATAATTAAATGAATTGCTATATAGTCTCGTATTCTCTCTTAAAGAACTAGTCTACATAGATGTAATAGTTAAATAATTGTATACCGCAAAGTAATCACTCTCAAACCACCAAAAAACCGAACTAATTTTCATCAATGGCTTCCACAAACGAAGACCAAACAATCACCAATGAAACCACAAACACTGTCTTTTCATCTTCTTCTTCTCCAATCTTCATTTCCACTGAGAATTTACGAACCATTCTCACCCATCAAACTCTAATGAACCACATCGATTCCAATCTCCCCAAAGTTTCAACCTTTCTCCAAACCCCAATTCGTCAACACTATACTCTCTCTCCTTCCTCTTCCCTCCTCCTCATGCCTTCATGGTCTTCTTCTTCCTCCTTCCCTTACGTTGGTGTCAAACTCGTAACCCATTTCCCTCAAAATTCCTCAATCAATTTACCCGGTGTTCAAGGTAGCTATGTCCTCTTCAATTCCACCACTGGCCAAACCCTTGCTTCTATGGATTCTACTGAGCTCACGCTTTACAGAACCTCTTGTGTCTCTGGCTTGGGTTCTAAGTATTTATCTAGAGATGATAGTGAGGTTCTTGTCATGGTTGGTGCTGGTTCCCTTGCACCTCATTTGATCAGGGCTCATTTTTCAGCTAGGCCCAGTTTGAGAAAAGTGTTGATTTGGAATCGGACTGTTGAAAAGGCGGAAGCTTTGGCTAAGAAACTGAGAGAAAGTGAGGATTTTAATCTTTCAGGGTTGAGTTTTGAAGGGTGTGGGTGTTTGGATGAGGTTGTTGGATTTGGGGATATTGTGAGCTGTGCTACGAATTCTGAGACCGCGCTTGTGAAAGGCGAGAGGTTGAAGGTTGGAGCTCATTTGGATTTGGTGGGTTCTTTTAAGCCTTCAATGAAGGAATGTGATGATGAGGCTTTGAAAAGGGGGAGAGTGTTTGTTGATAATGAGGCTGCGTTGGTTGAAGCAGGGGAGTTGGTGGGTGCTTTTGAAAGAGGGGTGATCAAGGAAGATGAAATTGGGGCAAATTTGGTGGAGCTTATTAGAGGTGATCAAGTTGGGAGAAGCAGTTCTGAGGAAATTACTGTTTTTAAGTCTGTTGGTTCTGCTGTGGTTGATATGCTGGCTGCACAGTTTGTTTATGACAGATACACAGGGAAATAGGTATATCTGAATTATAGTTTATGCTTAATAGTTCAATAAGTTTTCTCATGTACTAAAAATGTAGTATAGTCCAAAGCATGGATACTATCTGCATGATTGTTCTTATAATATTGATTGGTTATGGTATTTGGATCATTACAAAACCCGCAAAGTTATACTTATTATAGATAGTATTTTATATCCATCAAAGATCCAAATATTGAAATCATACTCACTTTGAAGAGGTTTATCTAATCTAACCATAATAAATAGTAGTATTGTGCTTCTTCAATGTCATCTAGATCAACACGATACTCATCAGAGAGTGACACTTTTTCACTTGCTTAAATGTCACCATAGAAGGCCATAATGATGCAACATGTAATGGTTGAGATGAAACGATAAGTTGGATATAGTAAAATAAGATGAAATACAAAACAGTGTTTTTTAGACTACATAGAAGATGGATAGAAAATAACGTAAATAACTAATTATTTCATGACTTACATACTTCTGCGCAATGCAAAATTCTCTTGATAGCTGCTACAGTTAATGCAGTCCATGCTATTTGGCAGGCACGAAATCAGACCAGGTTTCAAAATAGCTCATTCCTCGAAGGTCCTCTTGTTAGAAGCTATAATTCTTGTTCTAACGAAATGTCGGAATAGCTTATTGTATAAGTTGTAAGTTGTATTCGGAGAATCGAATATAACAGCTATTGAAGTATGTCGAAATCATGTTTTGAGCTATAGCATGTATTGTCGTATTGGGCTTAGGCATTGTATGCCTATATAATGGGCTGGTTAGTTTGTAATTTTACACACATTCAATGCAATTACAATTCAGTTAGAATCATAACAAACTTTCAATCTCTCTCTCCTTTCTTTTTCTTCTTCCTCTTCCATAAATCATCTTTCTTGAAAACCCTTTGTTCCAACAAATTGGTATAACAGAGCTCGGTTGCGATTCAGAGAGAATCAAATGGCAAACGGAACAACAACGTCAACACAACTTCCAGTGAATCTACCGGTTTTCAAAGGTGAAAACTATCAGCGCTGGGTTGCGCAGATGAAGGTTATCTTAGATTTCAAGATGTTGGTGAAATCTTGAATGATGGAGTATCAGAACTGGAAGCAAATGTGGCGGAAGTCCAGAGAACTGCGCACAACAATCAAAGGAAGAAAGACGGTAAAGCTTTGTTCTTGATTCATCAGTGTGTGGATTCTGATGTATTTGAGAAGATAATTGAAGATGAAACAACAAAATGAGCTTGGGAAAAGCTAAAGAACTTGTATGGTGGAGATGAGAAATTGAAGAAGGTGAAGTTACAGACGTTAAGGAAGCAATACGAAATGCTTCAGATGAAAAAAGATGAATCAATTGCTGCATATTTTTCAAGAATTAGACGTTAACAAACCAAATGAAGGCATGTGGTGAATCGATTACAGATCTATAGAAGATAAAAAATGTGTTGAGATCTTAGACTGTAGATTTTGACTACATTGTTGTGACAATTAAAGAAGCCAAGACTCTATCTGAGATGAACTTGGAAGAACTTCAAGCTTCATTATAGGCTTATGAGATTAGGTTGAAGCAGAGAAACTCAGAAAGAGAGAAGGTGGTTGAACAGGCATTGCAATCAAGATTCAGCAAGAAAGTTGGAAAAGAGAAGTCGAAGCAGCGAAGGAATATTGCTAGTAATGAGAAGTCAAGCAAGAATACTGATTCGTTCAAGAAAGGTGTGGGCAACAATTATTCTGGGAAGAAAGTTGACACGAAAGAGGTGAAATGTTACAATTGTCAAGGTTTTGGTCACTATGATAGAGACTGTCAAAGAAAGAAAGATGCAAGGGCAATAGATAGTGATCAAGCTCAATATGCACGAGCTAGAGATAATGATTATGATGATGTGTTGTTGATGGTGAACACTCAGTCGAACACTGAGAAAAACAACATGTGGTATCTAGATTCAGGAGGCATCAACCACATGACTGGAAATAAAAATTGGTTTACCAAGTTAGATGAGTCAGTCGAGAAGGTGATAAAATTTGCAGATGGCAGGCACATCAAATCAAGTGGTAAAGGAGATATTTTGATTGTCGAGAAGGATGGTCGAAAAGCCATTATCACTGAAGTGTTGTATGTACCTTTTATGACAAGCAACTTGATAAGTGTAGGTCAATTACTTGCAAAAGGCTTCAATATGAAGCTGGAGAAGAATCAGATGAAGGTATATAGGACTGATGAGAGGCTAATAATGAAAGCACCATTGACGGAGAACAAAACGTTTAATAATGAACTCAACACATCAGATCACAAATGTCTTGCTTCAACTACAGAAGAAGATAAGAACTGGCTATGACATCACATGTATAGACATCTAAATTTCATAAGTTTATACATGCTCAATCAGAAAAGGATGGTGTTTGGGTTGCCGTATGTAAAGGACCAAAGCATGCGATGAATGCATTTAACATACCATTCATCGTATTTTGCATAGCACAATCACTAGGTTAAGATTCGGTAATAGTGGATTTAACCGGTTTAAGTGGATTTTCAAGACGAATATTATTTGGTGATCATTTAGGTTTTTTTTCTAATATTACTTGTGGTGCGAATCATCTCTTTATTTGAGATTCATGGTTGTCTGAGGAATTGGAATGTATATTACTTGATTCAGAAGATTCCTTGAATTTAAAGAAGAAAGTCAAAGTTAGAAATTCAAAGAATATTTTATTTATTCATGGAAATTCATGGTAAAATGCTTATTACTTGAGATACAAGTTAAAATAATGGATTACAAAGAAAGAGGATAAAAAATTACATCAATTTGGTAAATTTGACTTTTTGGTCAAATAATTGACTTTTTGGTCTACTGTTGACTTTTTGTCAACTTTTGACCAGTGACTCAATTTCGGCCTCCGAATTTTCTTAGACATATCCTATAAGCATTTGATCAAAATAATCATCATTCTTCGTAAAAAAATCAAGAACTTCATGGTTATGTTACATGTTACATGATGCAAGTTTCCAAAAAAATCCATCTTCCATAAAGCTTCATTTCTATGGCTCTATCTTCACTTTCCAATGTCATCTTGAGCCTATTCTTCCCCCACAAAGTTCACTTTGCTACAAGGAAAAAGATACGCCAAATTAATCATCAATATCGTGGATTAAAATCATCCAAAAGTCATAAAAAAGTCATGAGAACAATTCTACATTACATGAAAAATTCTGCATTATGAAGTTTGTTTTTCAATACTTTCCAACACTTTCTAAAGCCATTTCATGCACACAAAAAATCAAAATTTGATTCATGAGTTTACTCCATTCAAAAGTGCTTATTTCTAACATAAAAGCACTTCTCAAAAGCACTTAAATCCATGGTTTAATTCATCAAAACTCAAGTAAAAAATGATCAAAAATCAAAGCAAAAACATTCAAATTCAAGCAAGTTTCATTCATTTCATTAATGACTCTTTGTCGTACATTCCAACTTGGTATTTTTGCAAAAACTTGACATGAATTACCTCTAACTAACCTTAACTACCTATTTCTACACAAACTCATCCATTTACCTAATTACCTCTAACTTTTTTAACGACCAAACTAACACAATAACTACCAAACTAACACAAATTTCACTTCCATTTTCAACCAAATTTTCACTCAATCCTAACCATTTATAACAATTAAGCTAAGGGCTAGAATTAATGATATGCAACTAAGGCCTAGATTAATTCCCATTTCCCAACCATTGATAAACTTCATACTTGGATCACAATCGAATAATTCAAATTCAACCATAAAATCTATATAAACATGTCATTTTTCACAATTTTGGGGGTTAATCAATTTGAACCATTTTAACCACTTTAACACTTTCTCACCATTTTCCATTTTCTCACCATTTTTCTCTCACCATTTCTCTTCACTCCCTAACCACCACCAAAATTCATTTTCATCACCATTTTAGAACTTTACATTGAATTTCTAAGTTGGTGAAACTTATCTGCAATCGTTCAACAATTCATCATCAATTTCTATCCACAAATCTCATCAAGGTTCAAGCATTCATCAATTCTCAAAAAATTTCAAGAATCCAAGAAATTTCATCATCAAGAATTCATCAATTCCAATCATCACAATTAAAACATATTCATTAAACTCTATATTCAATCATCCTTATCGAGCTTGGAAATTAATGGAAGTATAAGAACTTATCTCTTGAAGTTTTCCGGGTTTCTCTTCGAAGCTCTATTAACAACTTCAAACTGAGATAAACCTTCTCTCCGTCGATAACTTGTTATCTTTCTTCTTTCATATCATTGTCAAGAATATGCTTGTAAGCTTCTTGCTGAATGTTTGTGATAAAACCTTAATTTATCCTACCGTCCAAAATAGCTTATTCAGAAAAGTACTTATTTGCATCCAAAAAAACCAATTCAAGTAGCTAGAAAATTGTATTAGAATCACCATAAGCATTTCTTAGCATTAGTTTTAGCATAGACTAGCATTAACATAACATAAGCATTTAATTTAGCATGGAAACATGAAATATCTTTCTTACATACTTTTTTGAACCAAAACCCCAACTTTCACATAAACCAAAAAAGCACTTTTCTCAAAATTCGAACAATCTTAAATCAAACCTCATTCATAGTTTTAGCTTAAAATTAGTATTAGAAATAGAAAACCCATGCAAATCCATGCCAAAACCCCCCATTTTTGACAAGATACAAGTTAGAAAAATGTATTTTTTTCATTTTTATCTTGAAACCTATTTTATGGAGGTTTGGAAGAGAGAACTTGAGAGTAAGGAGAGAGAACCACCACGGGGAGGGGTGGTGCTAATGTTTATTTTTGTAAGTAAAAGGTTAGCAGAGTCGAGATAGGGAGAGATTGTAGTGGTCTGCTGCATAGAGCATAAGCTGAAGAAGTTAGAAGGACGTAAAGGAAAAGGGAAATAATTATTGCAAGTAACTGGCTGATAATGATAGCATGGAAGGAAGATAAATTGG